TTGCTAACAACAACAACAACGTTGAATGACTGGAAGTGGGAAGTCTGGCTATAAATAGCTCCCAGCGACCCAGCTTAAGATATTACCAAAAAATTAACGATAATAATAAATTATCAGAATCGACAGAAATAGTTAATAATGTAGGTACAACTGTACAAGGTTATATACGTAATGGCGAAAATATTCAATTAACTTTTATGTCCCTACACATAATAGTTTATAGTTATGAATAGTTTTGTAAAGTTTCAAAAATTTACAGTTTTTCGTAACTTATGAAAAACCTTGTCTCGAATTTAAAAGTCTTAGGTAGGTATTAAATTAAAAATGTTAGGAATTTTAACTTTATGTGCTAAACCCATCAATATTACCTWTAGCCTATATTTGAATAAGTAATAATTCAATAAATACAAGTCAAGCTATGTTATAGTACAGTTTCTGCGATCTATATAATATATTGGTGTTTATATTAAGGTAAGCAGTGGCTTACATTATAATCGTCATTTCATAGGTGCGCGAGGGTATTTAAAATATTACGGCTGCGTTTTACGTGTACGTGTATGAATATTATATTGGCGCGAAACGTCTTCGAAGAACGTTCATAGCATGATAAATACGTGAGATTAGTGTGACGTCATAAATGTTATCAATCCTTATCAATAAAGACTGCTGGATCCAAACAAACGAAATTTTATATGCAATTATATTAATTTATTAATTATTTTGCTATTAAATAATTTTTATTTATTAAATAGGTATTATATTTGAACTCTTAATGTAATATTCATCGAYGGTGAGCACATTTTATTATTTAAAACGCTTTTCTTGTTACTAAATATGTTTTGAACCATTGTTATACCTAATCAAATTAAATGCATACTATAAAGTAATTACTTACCTACCTGATATGAATTATGCTTTTGCTTACAAAATAAATATTTCAATCCATATTTTATCTTTAAATTAAATTGATAGAATGCTTTTAATTAACAAATCATAAACATATTTGATRGGTCCTTTTACCTATACCCATTTCGTTTTGATTTATGATTGCCCATCTAGTTTTTATGTTTTTAATGCAACATATTTAAAATATATTTATCAATCATAATATTGTATCTAGTTATAGCTTGTAACTATGCTTAAAATATGCATGTTTTGGAAATGTAGAAATTATGGTTTTTGGATGTTATCATTACAACGAAAAAGATTGTTGCAAATTCTATCGCTTTCCAATAAATTTGAAAGAAAAGAAAAAATGGATAAAGTTGATGAGGTGCTTAAAAAAAATGTAATATTAGTTAGTTATTTTAGGAAAATATATACGATTAATTTACGGTTTATAGAAGAACTGATGAACCTAAGACAGGGGCTCGCGTATGCAGCTGTCACTTTGTAGAGGGTAAAAAAGAAAATGGACCAACAATCCTACCCCATCGTCCTCATCAGTTTGGTACACATCACTTGACACCTGAGAAAAAAAAGTTTCGTAAAACCACACAGACTATATCACATAATATGCTAGAATTGGTAGATATTATGGCAGATGATAGARTATTGTGTGAGAACAGTGACATAATTAATCCAATTGAACATGATATTAATAATGAACCACTAGATTTATCAATGCAACCAATATTGAATTCAAGGTTGGTACCTGGTAGTGCATTGACATACATATTTATATATTTAATTATCTAATTTTGTCCAAATTTGAATTTAAAATATTTAGGCATAAAAATAAWTTTTTTATGTATTTCCTTAATATTTTTTAAATATATTTTACAGTTCTAAGTTGAACGATAGTAACAATGCTTCAAATAGTTCAATAGCTTTAGAAGTTCAAAATTATTTTCTCCAAAAAGAAAATGAAGCAATGAAAATTGAATTAAGTCATTTAGGAATAAAATTTAACTATGCAAATTTGAATCAAAATGATGAGCTGTTAAACTCTTACACTGGTTTACCTTCAAACTCAGTGTTTCAAGCACTTAATAATTTAGTAAAACCATTGAACATTGAATATCATTTAATGTGGTCTGTGGAAAGCATCAGCAAAGAAGATCAAATACTCATAACCTTAATGAAGTTGAGGCATAATTTTCCACATTTTGATTTAGCAGTCAGATTTAACTGCAGTAGTGCTACTATAACAAATATTGTTATGACATGGATTAATATTTTACATCAAGCATTATTTAAAAAATGCATGAGTAAAATACCATCTAGAGAAAAAAATAAATTGTGTATGCCCAATGTATTCAAACCATTTTTAAATTGCYGAATTGTTATTGATTGMACTGAGATTTTTACTGCTGTTTCTCGCCAATCCATGAATATCCAAAATGACACATACAGCAATTATAAACATAGGAATACTTGGAAAGCATTGATAGGAATCGTACCAAACGGTGTAGTTACTTTTGTGAGTAAACTATTCCCTGGGTCAACTTCTGATAAAGTAATAACTTTAAAAAGTGGACTTTTGGAACAGCTAGTGCCAGGTGATTTGATTCTAGTAGATAAAGTGTTTCTAATTAGAGAGATATTACCCTCGGGAGTATCATTAAATATCCCTCCATTTTTAGACACTCCACAATTTACTCCTGATCAAGTACTACAGACTGAAACAATAGCAAAAGCCAGAATACACGTTGAAAGAGCAATTCAAAGAATTAAATGCTACTCAATACTAGATGTCATTCCTTTTTCGATGCTTAAACAAGCAGAAAGTATTTTTCAATTGGTTGCAGAGTTAACAAATTTGCAGCCTCCCCTTATTAAAGAAATTCAAACCCACATGTGACAGTTTTAATATTATAATTATCTTACTTAATTAACACTTATAGTTTTGGCTATACTTTCAACTAAAACAAAAAAATAATACACATGCTACTTATGATGAATTAATTGAATATTACCTATGTGTTTTGACCTTGGTAATAAACATAAAATTATAATATTTAACATAATTAAATGAATTATTTATAAACTATTTTCTATTAAATATGGTATATACTTTTGTATAAAAAAGGCTTTTAATATTTCTAAATTGCTTTGCTACTCAATATCTTTTTCTACTTTCTGTTATTATTGATTGCATTGGAGTCCAAATAACTAAGTAACAAAACTTGCGGTTTGTCAAATAAAGTTGGCCCTGTATCTGATCCCAATAAGGATGTTGTTTGTTTACTAATATCTGATCATATTCTTTGTATACAATATAACTGTGGTCGTTTTCAATTTCAGTTTATAAAACCTTGTTTCTAAACTTCCACGGGCATTTAACTTCAACAATATGATTGATACCAACTAAACCATCAGGTGAAGCTCCAAGGAAACCATTATTGGACAAACACAACCCAGTAGGGATGACTTCAACTGTTTCTTTTTGTTTAAGAATGTTAATACCACAACTTTCATTTGTAATGCCCCATTGTATTGCATGCACACCATTTARATTTTTATCATTGTTTAAAGACTTATACAAAGAGTTTGGAAATTTATTTTTTTTACAACAGTCAAGTACTTTTCCAAAATGGCTAGCAGTAAGTCTATTTTTTCTGTAAGTGAACCATAAATTATTTTTATGTTGGCCTATAGTATCATTTGCAATTTGTAAAACTAAAGCATCAGTTATGACAGATTTTTCTAAGRAAATATGTTTTCAATTTAGTATACTCCTTACTTTTAACTAAATCTTTACTCTGCTTATCTAATAGATTATTAATAGCTTCAATTAATATAGTTGGAAGTTTCTCTGGTTTTGGTTTAAATAACCATGAAAACCCAGTTGGAAATGATAGATTTGCTAATGTTTGTTGGAAGCAACTAAAATCTTTTTCAGACACATTAACATTAGGACACTCGAAACTATCGTAAATATAACTTATGGTTTTAATATCCTCTGTTAAACTACTTTTCCTAGAACTCCATGAACAAGCAGTGTCTGTGGAACTTATATTATAATGAGTATGTAAAGCTAATGTGGCAATATTATGACAGACAATTCCACGGGGGCAAGAACACTGTTCATCTAACTAATAGACATCCGTCTTTGAGATTAAGTTGGACTTTATATGAACCATTTTTCATACTAGGCTTAATCTCACCTTTAATAATCTGCAAGTTCATACCTGCTTGGAACTTTAGAACATGATTATCTTTATGTGCAACTTCACCTCTTTTTAGTTGCTTTATACTGTCTTTAAAAAACTCTGATATAGAACTTATTGCCAATAAATGATTTCCAGCCATGGTATTAAGTAATAAATTAAGTAATAAATATCAAAATTTACTTAAATGTTTAAAAAAAAAACAATAATTGTCTTGTACACCTAATCGGTAAGAAATGTTGTTTGGATCCAGTAATTATCACTGATAAGGTTTGATAACCAGTATGACGTAGACACTAATCACGCGTATTAAAGAGGTATGTCAGCAACTCGTGATACGCATGTCTGTGAYGTAAGCATTTCTCCATCTCTTATCAAACGTTATAATATTATAAAAACATACATATTTTTCAGCTTTAACACATGTCAAATATTACTTTTTTTTCATAATTTAGTTGTGTCTAATATGKCTATTGTTTTAAAACTTAAAACTTAAATATAGCCAATGTTAATTGTATACACTTTTATTATGTTMTTAAAATATTTAACATTTGCTAATGAACTAACCGACGTCCGACGTAGTATGTACGGTTAGGTTATATTATAATATTATACCTTATTGTCACAGAAACTTTTGTACATTTTTTTTCATTATTTAATTAGCAATGTGTGATGTGTATCTATAGCACATCATTATATTTTTTTCAATTAACTTTATAAGTTTTATATTCGTTATTGTCTGGAATAAATTTCAGTTTTTTTTTATCTAAAACAAAACAGTATTACAGAGAACATCGGACAGCAAAGGTAGGTAAAGATATTTCATGTATGATAATTTAGTTAACTGCAAGTTGTGTATTATTCATAAGTCATASCTAATTAGTTTTAAAATAATAAATCTTATAATAAATAAATGTATTATAATGTTATTGAAATAATTAAATTAAATAGGTATAGCATTAAATTATAATTTAAAAAATCAATTAAAATGTAACCAATATGATGAACTGAATAAATTACTAACATAATTTGATTAAATATCATTCAATGTTTTTAATGTTGTAGTAATAAATAATAATAATAAGTTTAACATTTACATAAAAAAAAACGCTGTAAAATACAATATTTGAACTACTTATATATGTACAAGAAAATTAAAAATTAAAATGTACTTATAGAATATACATAAGTTAATAAATATTTTTATGGATATTTTGATATAATTGTTTTCGATTGTAAGTGATGGGTGGAGTGTTGGGTTTAAACGGTGCATTATGCATTCGCATACTTTGAACTCGCTGTCTATCAATATTTAATGATGAATGATCTTCATGTTCTTCTTCTTCTTCACTTTGTTGTTGTTGTTGTCGGAAGTGGTGGTGTGCATTGTGCATTAAGTAATGGGTGATGCTGGAAAAAATGCCTGCCACTAGTTTCAGGCTCCATCCAAATGTCTGATATAATAGGGAGAAGTTTAAACCTGTGTTAATACAGGTCAATATTATTTTCCAAATGAAAAATATCCCTAATAAACCGGAGACAAATTCTCCAAATCCGGTGAACCAACCCCACATATTTTTTAATTTGGTATCTACCATTTTATTATTGTATTTTCATCAATTAAGTTATTTAAATTTAACCTCTGATCCATTATAGACAGACCCATGGTTTGTCTTGCAAGATTCTTTTGTGAGGCCTCTATCTCCTGAGGTAATACTAAATATTGTTGGAAGGCCTTCATCGTATTGTAAGTGTAAATTCCAGCCGTTATCAAATGCTCAGGGCTTTTGTAGGTCCAAATCCATTCTGTTGATGGCTTAAGGGTTTGGGGTTTTTTTATTTCATTTATTTTTGATGTAATTGAAAACCAATCTCCGTCAAGATAAAATGCAGATGGTAATAAATGATTGCAATCTATTTCTGTACCATATTTCTGCAAAGTCCTGGTTTTTGGTGCCATGAAATATGATTGGTTGTTATATAATACAGGAAGTTCATTRWAACAARCATCTTTGTATACAATTTCCACCTCGACTGCTTTACATTTTATTAAATATTTACTTCGCCTGCTTGAATGGCTTTAAAACCAGGACCTTCACCCCATTGCATACGCATATTCTGAAAGACTGTATGTCGCTAAACTTAATTTATGTAATAATACTTTTCTCTCTAGCTCACATTGCTTGTGTAGTAAATCTGTATATAAAGTTGTCATAGAAGATTTAAAACGGTTTTCAATGTAAACAAATTTTGTGTTAATGTACGCCAATTAAGTCTGTATTTTGTGGAGAAATGTTTTTTGTTTTGAAGAAGTTAAAAAATAGAGGGTCTGTTAAGATATTTAATTGRGAATGTTCAGTTTGAATTACTGGTATATGACAAGCATATGTTTGTCTTATACTTTTGAGGGCAAAAACTACTTGGTCAAATTCAACCAAGTAGGTTTGTTGATTTTTATTTTTATCCGATGTGACTATAGATGCAGGTCCATCGTATAATATTGTAAACTCATGGGTATCACAATCGTATACATTTAAATCCCATATAACTTCTCCTTTGTATGCATCYATGCCATATTGGYCAGTTAGCTTGAATGAAGTGCCCGTTGGGAGTATTAGAATATTGTCTTTGCTATTTACTATTGCCATCCCAGTGGTCAGGAATATTTTAAAGTGAGCTTGAACAATAACATCTTGCCACGTACCTTTGTCTGATATGAATGTTGTACCTTTGCAATTACCATGTCTGTCAAYGAATCCAGCTAGTGTAGTAGAAAAAAGTCTTGTTTCGTTTATTTTTGTGATTTCTGTGATCATGCCGCCAAGTGGAAGACGGTAAACTAACCTTTGGTGAATTTCCGAACATTGTGAGCTGCCTAGTTCTGAAATTTCTGTAAAGTATCCACCTTCTACCATTTGAGCATCTTCTAGTACTGAGCACCGCGTTATTAAATAGTTAGTTGTTATTGAACATGATTTATAAGGTATTGAATAAGTGTCTGTTTTTTGTAATAACTGAACTCTCTGAATAGGTTTGACAACGATTGCGGTTGGGAGGTCACAAAAATCTACACTCAGACTACTGAAAGCCGTTATGTTTATTTTAGGTCCATTACAGTCATATTCAATGAACCCTAGTGTTTGTTGTATGAGTGAGAAGGTGATAATTGTTGAGAAGTATATCTTGATACAGCTAGATTATAATAAATAGTTTTGTGTTAGATGTATAATATATATATATATATATATGGCGAGTACTTGGACGTAAATAGGGCCTTCAAATGCTTAGGGCTTGAGCCCAAAAAGTTTCAAGAACAAAAAGAGTGGAAGACTTGTCTTCTACTCACTACTTACACACAATTTGATTTTATCTATAGGGTTCAGATTTTAAGTCATTGTGGGCAAGTTATTTGCATGGTTTATTGCATAATATTGAAATATTTATTATATTTTATACTARTATAGTAATATTTACGTATAAACGAAAAATTTCAAAATGTTTTTAACTTAATGGATTAACTGAGTAAAGCTAAGTTATTTCAACTGTAAATTAAACTAGTTAAGTTCATAAATTGATTAGAAAATAAACTAACTAGTTAATGCCCACCTTTGGAAGGCAATATAAGTAATAAAAAAAAGAAAAAGAATAGAATTCAAAACTATCACAAATTAAATATA